TGCTGTGATAAGTAGGTGGAGGTCATTACAAATGCAGCCATGATTACCTCCACGGTATAAGTGCCACACACTACGCCGGGAAAGAGAGCGCCGTCCCCGAGACATAGGAGACACTTCTGGGGGTCAGCCCACCTAAACGGATCTTGTAGTTTTAGGTGGTTATAGGAAGACTGACTCTCCCGCGTACTTATTTTACCGCCCACTTCCTTCATGGATGTCTGTGCTCAGACTATGCAGGGCAAAGCAACAACAAGTTCCCTTTAATGCACTTCTCCCCAGCAGCATACTCCATACTGACTTTCCTTGTACCTCTCCGCCGCTCCGTTCAGCTGCTGATAGGAAAGTCCAGTATAAGCTTCAAGTCATGGGGATTGTAGATGACACATTGCTGATTGGCCCAGCACGGTCACATGGGGTAAGTCACATGCTTCTTCATACCTGGGGCTACCTAGTATTGCCTTTGTTTCCCAGCACAGAAGTGAAGGAAATGGCAGTGGGTGGGATTAACCTGGGTATGTTTCTTCTATTGTCTCTTTCAGGTGGGTGGTTTGGGGGTGTTAAAAACAAAAAGTTGAGCTGAAGTTTTACTGTCCACTCAGCATGGCACAATACAGCCAGCTGGGGCTGTACGCATGCATGGCTGCAATGTTTTGGCATTTTTACTGTATGGAGCAGATTTTGACAGTCGGTAACTTCTGCCAAACTCACCCATTGAGTTCAGTGCATGCAATTGCAGGGCTGGAGTGCAGCATTACAGGGTAATATCAGGCAGTGAGGAGGTGATATCTCGCCTCCTCACTGCCTTTCAAATGTCCTCTTAAAATATGGATTGCTCTTCAGATGGCACTGCAGTTCTCCTTAAAGTGGCTGTAAAGTCTGAAGGATTTTTACCTTTATGTATTCTATGGATGAATGTAAAAAGCCTTCTTTGTGCAGCAGTGCCCCCATCCCCCCAATACTTAGCTGAGCCCCATCGAGATCCAGCAATATGAATGACAGCCTCGCTGTCCCAGGTCTCTGCCTCCGCATTGGCTGAGACAGCAAGCAGGAGCCATTGACTCCTACTGCTATCAATCACAGCCAGTCAGCCAATGAGGAGATAGAGAGGGTGGGGCTAAGCCGTGGCTCCGTGTGTGAATGGACACACGGAGCAGTGGGTGCCCCCATAGCAAGCTGTTTTCTGTGAGGGCACCCGACAGGATGAGCCAGGAGAGCCTGCGGGGGGACCCGAGAAGAGGAGGATCCGGGCTGCTCTGTGCAAGCCGCAGGTAAGTATAGACATGTTTATTATTTATCCACTTGCCTACTGGGCCAATTCTGACATTCCTCTCCTACATGGAAAAATTCTCTTTTTTTGCTAGATAATTACTTAGAACCCCCACACATTATATTTTTTTAAGCAGAGGCCCTAGAGAATAAAATGACGGGGGTTACAATATTTTATGTCGCGTGGTATTTGCACAGTGGTTTTTCAAAAGCATATTTTTGGGGAAAAAAAACACTTTAATGAATTTTAGTGAACACAAACACAATATAATACCCAATTTCTTTGTAAAATATAAAAGATGATGTTATGCCGAGTAAATAGATACCACACAAGACATGCTTTAAAACTGCGCACACCAATGAAATGGCGGCAAACCGGTACTTTAGTTTATCCATAGGCAACGGTTTAAAAGGAGGGGCTCTGACGTCACGACGCTATTAGGAATCACACGGCGAGTACAGATAGTGTGCAGAGCACACACAGAGGATGGTTACTATTTCAGAAACACATTTAATATATAGATATGTGAGTGAAGTACTTATGCAGTATAAATAAACCTTTTACAGAAAGATAAGGCACTATATGTATTCTTTTTTTCATGGTCACCAACAATATGGAGGAATAAAGAGGAGAGGTGGAGGAAGTGGAAAGCCCCCTGGAGGATAGAGGGAGAAATCCATCCATCCATATTACAGACAGGGATCAGCAAGCCTAAGAGACCCCCTGAGGGAAAAGTGAATGATTACATCCAGCTACCCAACGGTTTACAAGTCTTTACAGGTTACCAAATGAGAGTTCCAGAGGAGATTTGGTGCTGCTGGAATTATTGGTGTGTGACGTTGGCGGTGATACCTCGCATGTGTCGTGCGATCGCTGTGTACATGTGCATGCAGGGCCGACACGTGTGTTCACCTTTGCATGTAAGCACGAGGGGGATGGGGGTTGTTTTTTTTTTTATTATTTCTTTTTTTCACTTTCATTGCTATCAGAAGGGATGAACAACTTGCTTTATGATCACATGGGCCATGACAGGTCCTCTTCTATCAGACCCCAGATTTCTCCACAGATTGGTCTGATTGGCTGCTTCCCCGGCTGGCAGGCGGAGAGTAAACCCAGAGCTGGAAGTGACAGAATCCTTGTTGCTTCCAGTTTCTCATTTCACATAGTGGGAAGAACAACATCAGTTCCTCCCATTGTGTGTGGGGGAGCCGATGCCACCGGTCGCATCTTTGCCGGGCTTCCCGATTGCACAAGATACACGGGAAAGGTGGCGGGGGGAGGGGATGAGACCCCCTTCTTCCACCTGAAAAGTAATCCAACGGCGCATAGTCCTCAGATTACTTTTACATAAAAGAGAATCGTTGGCACTGAAAAATGATACGTGATCATGGTTGTCGCCTCAGCCATTGTCCCGGTATAACCACTTCAGTACCAGGCTGTGTATATATATACGTGCATCCGTATTGAAGCGGTTAAAGAGACCCTGTCACCACCTTAAACAAATGACAGGTCAGAGCACACACAGTATTTTATATGCCTACTTCTGGTGTTTTTACTTTCTGTGAATTAGTTTTTATTCACCTGCAATGTGTCTTTGAAGCTAAAAAATGTGATTAGCACAGCCCCCTCCCCCTTCTTGCATACCCATAGCCCTCCCCTCTACTGCGAGTGTCTAATTACTATGTGTGCTGGCCCAGCTCCTCTGCCCCTCCCCTCACTATATAACCTTTTATGGAGGAGACAGGAATACTATAGTGTGTCACTTGATTTACAGCTTGAAGTCAACATCCAAGATGGTGGCGACCAGCATGCTCAGTTTGGTGTGTATTGATAGAGAGGTTTTTTTTTTTTTTTTTGTTAGGAGAGTGCATGTGATCAGCATTGTCCAGACAGAGGGTCAGGGGTCCTGTAGTCTCATAGGACAGTCGGAGGAGAATGAAAACTCCTCCTACAAGCTTTAACCACTGCTGGGTTAGACACTGAGAGAAGTCATAAGACTGCTATATATTGCTGATGAGAAAAGGTATTTAGCAGTTTATATTTACTAAAATAATTGTATTTCCATGCTGTGTGTGTACAATGGGGAGAGCGGATATAGTGATTGCAGGGTCCGGGGATATAGTGAGACCGCGCATATAGTGGAGCCGATTAGTGAATGCAGGGTCCGGGGAGACCAGATATAGTGAATGCAGGGTCCGGGGAGAGCGGATATATAACCTTTTATGCAGGGTCCGGGGAAGAGCGGATATAGTGAATGCAGGTCCGGGGAGAGCCATAGATGGTGCGGGTCAGCAGCCGAGAGCGGATATAGTGAATGCAGGGTCCGGGGAGAGCGGATATAGTGAATGCGGGGTCCGGGGAGAGCGGATATAGTGAATGCGGGGTCCGGGAATGAGGAGCGGGGATATATGAATGTGAATGCGGGGTCCGGGTCCGGGAGAGCGGATATAGTGAATGCGGGGTCCGGGGAGAGCGGATATATAGGGGTCCGGGGATGCGGGGGTCCGGGGAGAGCGGATATAGTGAATGCGGGGTCCGGGGAGAGCGGATATAGTGAATGCGGGGTCCGGGGAGAGCGGATATAGTGAATGCGGGGTCCGGGGAGAGCGGATATAGTGAATGCGGGGTCCGGGGAGAGCGGATATAGTGAATGCGGGTCCGGGGAGAGCGGATATAGTGAATGCGGGGTCCGGGGGAGAGCGGATATAGTGAATGCGGGTGAATCCGGGGAGAGCGGATATAGTGAATGCGGGGTCCGGGGGAGAGCGGATATAGTGATATAGTGTGAATGCGGGGTCCGGGGAGAGCGCGGATATAGTGAATGCAGGGTCCGGGGAGAGCGGATATAGTGAATGCAGGGTCCGGGGAGAGCGGATATAGTGAATGCAGGGTCCGGGGAGAGCGGATATAGTGAATGCAGGGTCCGGGAGCGGATATAGTGAATGCGGATATATAGTGAATGCCGGGTCCGGGGTTTAGTAACACTTGAACTCCACTCTTATCTTCAGTCTTGCACAGTTGTAAAACGCTCAGCTCCTCTACGGAAATATCTAACTCTGATGCTACTGCGCTCTGTGAGATTCATACAGTTTGTATTAAAAGCTGCTGCAGAAAGTTAAACCGAGCCTTCCTCATTTCCTGGGTGGACATCCGGCATCATCTAGCACTTTTCTCCCCCTCCTTACTGTCCCTGGCCCACTGCTTTCATTCATTGGATTTCAGTTCTTTCAGGCATAGAAGCTCCACATCACATGTCAGCGTTACCTAGAGACATCTGCATAGGAATGTTCACTACACCAGACTGACACCCACACAGCCAGGCAGATTGATATTTCCAGAACTCCCTCAGGAGCCAGCCCACTGATTGCATCAGGGCTGAGGGACTCTTGGGGGGAGTACTGAGGAGGGGCCCTGATGTTTTCTGGGAACTATGTACAGCACCCTGCTAGCCCCTCCCACCAGCCATGACTTCATGACAAATGTTACCAGTGATGACATTTACATTCACCCAACACGTGCAGTACGGCCGGATTTCACACTCTGCATTGTGACAATATACGTGGTTTTGTTGTGCGCCGTTAGCAGTGCGTTCTCATTGGGTTGATGTGGTTTCCCCGGTAACAATAAAACATGAAATCTAGTTGCGCTAGTCATGCAGTATGCGCTATAACACCTAAACAACACAGCACACCTTGCAGCAAGTAACTGGAATAAGTAGAGAACATGTAAAAGATGAAAGCTTGCTCTGGGATCAGAGGATTTATTAATGCCTCCTGATGGTCTTTGTGATGAGTGTAACTATACTCGGCCGAAGTCCCAACTATGAGCGGCTTACTGGACAGATGTCCCAAAATATGTAAGTGGTGGCAGCACAGGGGGGGTCTAATGGTCCTGAATACTGTTCCTTGTGCTGTCATCCAGTGAGCCGGTTACATTACTGACTTTGAGTGGCTTGGGCATACTAGGTCCTCTCTTTGCCTCCATGAAGATGAGTGAGTCTGGTGATGGAAGGACCATCCCCAAACCATGGAGATGTATTATGAAGCCCTTTGAGCCCATGGGTTTGTGTCATTTTTGGTATTGTGTAGCTGCATGTATTACAGTTACTGTGTGCTCTGTTCTTTTGTTAGCATGCTCTCCTTCCTGAGATTATTGCAGAGCTGCAATGAGAGGTGGCATGCCCTGTAGACCAGCCTTTCTCACCTTTTTTTTTTTTAACAGTGAAACCCTTGAAATAATTTTCAGACGTCGAGGAACCCCTGCTAAAAAACAGTTACTTGGGGATCAATTTGAAAAATGCCCCATTTGCAGTGCTGATTGCCCCCCTTAAAGACAGCTAAAAACATAATTGGTATCATGCCACTGGCCCTTCATAGTGACGTTGGCCCCAGAACTGTGCAGGCACCATCACATGGGAGCCAAGCAGCTATAGCTAAGGGATCCCCTGCCATGGCTAGAGGGAGCTGAAAATGTCCCGGCGTCAGTGGGAGTAAAAAAGTCCTATCTTTGGTAATAGGGGAACTATTAGTGCCCCATTGTTAGTGTCAGTGGGAGAAATAGTGTCCGATCATTGATGTCTCTGGAGGGAATAGTGCTCCATCATTGATGTCTGTGGAGGGAATAGTGCTCCATCATTGATGTCTGTGGAGGGAATAGTGCTCCATCATTGATGTCTGTGGAGGGAATAGTGCTCCATCATTGATGTCTGTGGAGGGAATAGTGCTCCATCATTGATGTCTGTGGAGGGAATAGTGCTCCATCATTGATGTCTGTGGAGGGAATAGTGCTCCATCATTGATGTCTGTGGAGGGAATAGTGCTCCATCATTGATGTCTGTGGAGGGAATAGTGCTCCATCATTGATGTCTGTGGAGGGAATAGTGCTCCATCATTGATGTCTGTGGAGGGAATAGTGCTCCATCATTGATGTCTGTGGAGGGAATAGTGCTCCATCATTGATGTCTGTGGAGGGAATAGTGCTCATCATGTGTCTGTCTGTGGAGGGAATAGTGTGTCCATCATTGTGCTCCATCATGATGCTGTGGGAGAGTGTCCATCATTGATGTGTGTGGGGGGAATAGTCCATCATCATGATGTCTGTGGAGGGAATAGTGCTCCATCATTGATGTCTGTGGAGGGAATAGTGCTCCATCATTGATGTCTGTGGAGGGAATAGTAGTGCTCCATCATGATGTCTGTGGAGGGAATAGTGCTCCATCATTGATGTCTGTGGAGGGAATAGTGCTCCATCATTGATGTCTGATGTGGAGGGAATAGTGCTCCATCATTGATGTCTGTGGTGGAATAGTGCTCCATCATTGATGTCTGTGGGGAGGGATCATTGATGTCTGTGCTCCATCATTGATTGATCTGTGGAGGGAATAGTGCTCCATCATTGATGTCTGTGGAGGGAAAGTGCTCCATCATTGATGTCTGTGGAGGGAATAAGTGCTCCATCATTGATGTCTGTGGAGGGAATAGTGCTCCATCATTGATGTGTCTGTGGAGGAATAGTGCTCCATCATGATGTCTGTGTGGAGGGGAATAGTGCTCCATCATTGATGTCTGTGGAGGGAATAGTGCTCCATCATCATTGATGTCTGTGGAGGGAATAGTGCTCCATCATTGATGTCTGTGGAGGGAATAGTGCTCCATCATGATGTCTGTGGAGGGAATAGTGCTCCATCATTGATGTCTGTGGAGGGAATAGTGCTCCATCATTGATGTCTGTGGAGGGAATAGTGCTCCATCATTGATGTCTGTGGGAGGGAATAGTGCTCCATCATTGATGTCTGTGGAGGGAATAGTGCTCCATCATTGATGTCTGTGGAGGGAATAGTGCTCCATCATTGATGTCTGTGGAGGGAATAGTGCTCCATCATTGATGTCTGTGGAGGGAATAGTGCTCCATCATTGATGTCTGTGGAGGGAATAGTGCTCCATCATTGATGTCTGTGGAGGGAATAGTGCTCCATCATTGATGTCTGTGGAGGGAATAGTGCTCCATCATGATGTCTGTGTGGAGGGAATGTGCTCCATCATTGATTGTGTGTGGGAGGAATAGTGCTCCATCATCATTGGTGTCTGTGGAGGGAATAGTGCTCCATCATTGATGTCTGTGGAGGGAATAGTGCTCCATCATTGATGTCTGTGGAGGGAATAGTGCTCCATCATTATCTGTGGAGGGAATAGTGCTCCATCATAATAAGCGAGCGCTTTAAATGTACAAGTGCTGAGGCACACAGGATAACCAAAATAATCCTCACATGAAAATGTCAAAGTGCAGCGCTAGGAGAATAGTATAAATGTGTCACAATAGAGGGAAAAGTGATCAAAAAAAGTCCCAACAACGTGACCTGTGGGGGAATAATGCACACTAACCATGCACATTATAAGTGCAATGTAGAAGGATGGTGCTCCATCAGAGTAGTCTGTGGATGGAAAGGGTAGTGCATTCCCATTGGTCAGTGAAGATCCTCACATTGACGGTACAGAGCTGGGCAGAAGTGCTCCATCATAGATGGTAGAAAACGATCACTGCTGCTCCCAAAAGAGTCTGTGGACTGGGAATAGTGCTCCATCATTGATGTCTGTGGAGAAAAAGTGCTCCCCACAGGGGATGTCTCAAGGAAAAATGTGCTCCATCATTGATGTCTGTGGAGGGAATAGTGCTCCATCATTGGTGTCTGTGGAGGGAATAGTGCTCCATCATTGATGTCTGTGGAGGGAATAGTGCTCCATCATTGATGTCTGTGGAGGGAATAGTGCTCCATCATTGATGTCTGTGGAGGGAATAGTGCTCCATCATTGGTGTGTCTGTGGAGGGAATAGTGCTCCATCATTGATGTCTGTGGAGGGAATAGTGCTCCATCATTGATGTCTGTGGAGGGAATAGTGCTCCATCATTGATGTCTGTGGAGGGAATAGTGCTCCATCATTGATGTCTGTGGAGGGAATAGTGCTCCATCATTGATGTCTGTGGAGGGAATAGTGCTCCATCATTGATGTCTGTGTGTGGAGGGAATAGTGCTCCATCATTGATGTCTGTGGAGGGAATAGTGCTCCATCATTGATGTCTGTGGAGGGAATAGTGCTCCATCATTGGTGTCTGTGGAGGAAATAGTGCTCCATCATTGGTGTCTGTGGAGGGAATAGTGCTCCATCATTGATGTCTGTGGATGGAATCGTGCTCCATAATTGGTGTCTGTGGAAGGTATAATGCTCCATCATTGGTTTCAATGTGGAGGAATGGTTCCCTACTGTTGGTGACAGTGCAGGAATTATTGCCCCATTGTGTGTGTGGAGGAAATAGTGCCTCATATCAGTGGGAGGAATAGTACCAAGGGCCAGAGAAAGGTATGCAAAGGGCCACAGTTTGGAGACCCCTGCTCTGAAGCAGGGGTCTTCAAACTTTCTAAACAAAGGGCCAGTTTACTGTCATTCAGACTTTTAGGGGGGTCGGACTGTGGCCAGTGGAAGTAGAAAAATCTCCTGGCATTAGTGGGAGTAAACAGTGGTCCATCTTTACTGTTAAAGGGAATAGAATAGTGTCCCGTCATTGGTGTCAGTGGAAGGATTAGTGCTCCATCATTGGTGTCAGTGGAAGGAATAGTATGCCATTGTTGGGGTCAAGAATTAATTCTCTGCTGTGGGTCACAGTGGGAGGAATAGCATCTCATATCAGTGGAAGGAATAGTGCCTAAAGGGCCATATGTAAAGTAAACAAAGGGCCACATTCGGCCCGTGTGCTGCAGTTTTGAGGCCACTGCTCTAGAGGTATCCTAGGGTTTCATGGAGCCCTGGATGAGAATAGCTGCTGCAGGCTACACTTTTTCCTGGTGGGAGCCTTTCTTGTTTTAATGGTCCTATAAAGGCTACATAAAAATGCAGTGTGATTTACAATGCTTCAGTTTATATATTTGGACCTTCCAATTCACTAACCCAAAACACGTATTTAGATTAACACAGTCATAAATTGTCTGTTCTAAATCTCTGATTCATTCCATTTAAAAGAAGAGAGTCAGCATGACCTTTGTCAGATCTCCATTGGAGTAGTTCAGGCAACTACCTGAGGCCCCCCAGCTTCCTAAGGGGCCCATGCATGCCCATGTCAGGGTAACTGTACTTTGGGCATACCTTGTAGACCAACGGTGTCATGTTCTGTCCAGCAAAATCCACCTGGACCGGCTGTCAGCTTGACAACAGGGTCTCGCCTTGTTCCAGGAAGGAGCCCCTGCAGCAGTGTAAATGCAGCCTGCTAGCAGTGTTTGCCTTTTTCACTGATAAATACTGGATGTCCTATCAATATTATTGTCATGAATAAAGTATTTGGACGTGTTCTTTTATGTGCATATCAATAAGCTTTCCTTTGATCTGAATATGCCCATCAATTTAGGTCTAGATACAGTTTAGGAGACAACGTCTCCATATTTGTTGTCCCTTTGATCTATTAGATAATAATTGAAAGTGTTGCTCCGTGTGGAGGAATAGTTCAATAATTGCACAAAAAATGCTTTTGTTCTATCTAGTGAGCTTGCAAGTTGCAGCGTACTCTGCAGTCATTGGTGTCAAGCAGGGAAAGACAAGCTCAACCGAGAACTTTGGGAAATATCATGAGCCTGGGTTTGTGGAGGAACAGTGCTCCATCATTTTACCAAAATGTCTAACTCACCAATGATCTACTAACTGCTAAAAATAGTGCCCAATGGCCATTGTGTCAGTGTACTCATCCCAACCAATGCTCCATACTCCGTGTCACCCCAACCAATGGAATAGTATACTCCGTACTCATCCCAACCAATGGCCACTACTGTACTCATCCCAAAATAGAATGGCCACTACTCAGTGGAAGGAATCATGCCAAAAAATGGCCACTAGTACCGTACTCAAGGGGGTGACAATGGCCACTGGTACCAAAGTGTGCCAACCAATGACCACTACTACTCCGTACTCTCATCCCAACCAATGGCCACTACTCCGTACTTTAGTGCTCCTACACTTGAATCTGGAAGGGCCATCTGCTGGCATTGGTCCACTATAAAGGGTCAGTGGACATTATGCTCCAAATGGTTTCAGTGGCCACTTGTTGTTTTCCATAATTACTGCTTTGGTCCAGTATCCAATTTTCCATACAGCCAATCAATGGCCACTATTAATATAAACAAAGGGCCACATTCTCCAAAATGCTGAGTTTTTTAATCACTGCTCTAGTAGGGTATCCTACACTTTGTCATGGAGATCCCATTAGACTAGTTTCACTGTTCAGGCAACTTTTTATTGGTGGGTTTTGATTTTGGGCCAAAAGGATCCTTTCTAGAAATTTCACATGGCAGTTCAAATAAAAATGAAGTTTGTCCATTCTACTGCTTAAGGGAGAACAGTTTTCTACCTTGTAATCTCATTAATGTCAGTGGAAGGATTTAGATGTCTTTCCTAAAAGGGCCAAGTTATATGTCAGCTAAATGGCAATAGTATGCCCTGTTACCAAGAAAAATTAACTTTAAGCTAAGTTGCACCCACTGCTACTTAGGATTTGCACTTTTCATTCAGTATGGATGGAATAGCTCTCTTGGGCTCAATTTGTTTCAAAGCCGTGTATGCTATCTCTTGAATGCCCTGTAAGAACTGAGTCAGCATGCCTTTTTCAAAATACATGGATGATTCATATTATTGTCAAAAATACAAGAGGGGATACCTGCTTGTCTTATGGAAGCAATGCACTTCCTTTGATTATGTAAAATGTACCAGATCAATTTAGGTTCATACAGTTTAGGAGACAACGTGCTCCAATTATTTGTTCCCCTTTGACACCACCTGATTCTTAACACAGTGTTACAGTTATACTGTTTTCAATAACTGCATTCTTTGGATGTCACAGCCTAGTGAGCTCCTTGCAAGTCAGCATACTCTGCAGTAATCATCTCAAAATACAAGTTCCTCACACTCATTTACCGAGCAACTAAGGGCTGGAAATATCAAAGCCTGGGTTTGAAAACCTGCTTTAATGGACATGTTCCATTGCCTACCAAGTTTTTCAACTCAAATGATTTGTCTCACAACCAATTGGCACTATCAGTACTTTCCCAACAACAGGCCCCTGCAGCTTGCTGGTAAGCAGTCTGAATAGTGCATTTCTACTCAACGATCCCACAACACAATGAAGCACTACTAGGAAGTATCATCCAAATTTGAAGGCCAAGGGGACTGTTGAAATCCCAAAAATGGCCACTATCTATCATCCTTAACTCTGTTCAGCTACTCCGTAATCTTTAGAAACTGGTAAGACAACGTCCTCCGTATTTGTTCCCCATTTGGACTATGAGCAAATCCCAACAATGTGGGTATCCAAGTTCATCCCCCAAACAATAAGACGCATACTCATGAGCTGCAATGATGGCCTCCGTACTCATCAAACCAATGGCCACTACTCCCTTGCTCATCCAAACCAATGGCCACTACTCGTACTAATCCCAACCAAGGCCACTACTCCGTACTCATCCCAAAAATTGGCCACTACTGTTCTGTACTCATCCCAACCAATGGCCACTACTCCGTATCATCCTATGTTTGGCCACTAGTACTCATCCAACAATGGCCATGATCCGTACTCATCCCAACCAATGGCCACTACTCCGTACTCATCCCAACAATGGCCACTACTCCGTACTCATCCCATTTGCTTCTGCCAACTCCGTACAGGGCCACTACTCCGTACTCATCCCAACCAATGGCCAATTCCGTACTTCATCCCAAGATATTGGATGGCCACTACTGCAGTACTCATCCCAACCCTGAGGCCACTAGACGTCCGTACTCATCCAACCAATGACCACTACCTCCAAGTCCACTCATCCCAACCAAAGGCCACTAACCGTACTCATCCCAACCAATGGCCACTACTCCGTACTCATCCCAAATCCAATGAGAACCACTACTTAAAGTACTCATCCCAACCAATGACCACTACTCCGTACTCATCCCAACCAATTGACCACTACTCCGTACTCATCCCAACCAATGACCACTACTCCGTATCATCCCAACCAATGACCACTACTCCGTACTCATACCAACTATGACCTTCACGTTTTCATAACCATGTTGATCCACTACTCAGTAAAAGGATACTGTACTTTTACTCTTGAACGTTTTGATTTTCCATATTTACATGCAGTTTTTCTAGGTCACAGAAAAGACATTTTCCTTTTTTCCATTTAATGGCTTACAGCTTTATGATATTTTTAGCTGAGCAGCCTCTTTCTGCAATTTAAGCATTTTCTCCTCTCCAATGATCAAAATCAAAGTAAACTGTTTTTCTACACTTTGTCTGGAATGACCCGTTACTCAGATTTTTAGAGATATATTATATATAGAGGTATATCCCTTTCAGCAACACTGGCTATATCCATATGAACGTCCAACCTCCAGGAGACACAATATACCGGGCAGAAAACAAACCTTCCTCACAAATTCAGTATGCAGTGTCTCTCCAAAGAAAAGCCAAAGGGATCTGCAATAATGTTCTGCCATAAAAAAATGTTTTTTATTAAAACCCGACCGGTACTTACATAATAGGAAGAAAGAAGAGCGCACAATCATACAAAACGCACTCATATCTACATCTCATTGGTTTCTTTGTATTCCCACAGATGGGTGCCCAGTTTTTATTTCTGGGGCCTGTTTAGGCAGACTGTAATGGTTATTATATGTGATTTATTTTGTTATTATATACAGTACATGTTGTTCCTTAAAGCAGTTAGGGTGGATACTGTCATCTCTAGGTGCATGGAGTACACTCACAGTCCTAGAAAGCTGTACTCTAAATACATATATGAGAAATGTTTTGCTGTCAGAAGATTTTTATATCTGTTCATCCATTTGCTGGGATTTCCACAGCTCTGCCAGACAGCACAGCCAAGCAGACAAGACTACTTACAGATAGGAAATACAGTGGTGTCCTCTGTTCACCCCCAACCGTCTGATTGGATGGTGAAACAACAGCAGCAGACTGATTAGGTCATCTCTCTGATCTCTTCTCCTATCAGTATGTTCTATGTTGGTACATGTGCATGCAGCACACCCTGATTGGCTCTCGGTTCTGCCCCTTCTTCTTCCAGTGCTGCTGCATAGTAAGAGGCTGATACCAAATCAAATTTCAGGCACTTCCACTAGTGGCATTAAAACACACATTTCAAGATTTATTAAGCCCTTCCTGTCGGATGTATGTATATATGTGGCAGCACAGAGATTGGCCGTATTCTGTGCCTCCTCGTATACACATACCTGTTTTGTGTTGGCAGCATGCCCCCAGCACTCTGACAGTACGTCACTGACAATTGGAAGCTGGTAGGATGGGCTTCCAATTATCTAATCATCCAATCACAGTGATCACATGGTGCGGAAGCTGAGCAAGCAGGTAACGATGCTGCTGGTGTTACTACTATCTCTTAAAAGGCTGGGAAGAAGGGGTTAATGAATACAGAGTTGCATTCATTTGTGTCTATTATATATCTGTCTGGAGATTAGTCCAAAGATGTACAGTTTTTATTCAACTGTGTGTGGCAAAATATCCTAAAAATCCAGAGCTATGAACAGGGGATTATAAGAAGATCCTGGGATTTCCCGCTGTAAACGCATGTGTTCTGTATTGCAGACATCTAGAACTGCATTCACCTGATGCCAAGCATACTGCGGTGCTGCGAGCAAAAGATCCTGCGGCGGCCCAGACCTGGTTCAACGCAATTCATGGGGTGGTGACGGAACTTCTTCCCAAGGTGATGGCCGAAGTCCAAACTCAGCTGAGAAAAAACGGAATCTCTGGAAGTCATGAAATTCGGCACATGGGCTGGCTAGCAGAAAAGGTCAGTTTGTTGTGTCTTTGGCTTTATATTGTTTATCTCACGAGCTAAATGACCACAAAAATGTCTCATCTGAAGTCCCTTTAACCCTTTTCCGCCCTACTCCGGTGTCCTTGTACAAAGTTCTGAGTGCCTGGGGGGGGGAGATTTTCGATCATGTGACTACTGTGTTTGGCTGTCATAGTGGTCACATGATCAGGAGTCGTTCCACTGGCTATGGATTATTAGTGAGGGCCGAGAGCTGTCTTTGACAGCCCAGTGTCTGTGCTGGGAGCTTGCAGTGAGCTTGTTCTCAGCACAGAAACATTGGCTGCCCAACAACGCACATGTGTGGGTGTTAAAGCCCGCCCTTGCGGCTGCAAATATGTGTAATTTGGGTGACAACAGGTTAAAGTGGAACTTAACCCCCCCCAGGTTTAATTTTACTGTAAACCCCCTCCTACCTTGTGTGCTGGGGTGAACTTAAATAACATACCCAGCCATCAACTGCAGCATTGCCCTGCAGTAATCTGCTGAAAGCGGAACCCACAGGGCCTTGTGCCGCCATCATTGGAGCCAGCTTTCTCTTCCAGGTCCTAGCAAGCAGCTCCCGATGACACTCCACTGAGCATAGACAATATTCGTAGTCCTCCTGGGCTTAGGTGAACCTGTGGCTAAAGCTGCTAGTACCTAACCATATACCAGAAATGGTCATCCAAAGTGTAAATGAGAGGTGCTGCTCTAATAACTAAACTATATGTAAATCCCAATGTGAATAAGTGATGAACAGTAAATAAATGAGTGAACAATACTATAATACCCAGTGACTATATTAACAGCATAAGTGACATCAACCCCAAACTAAACATCTACACCGCCTCTCCTAAATGGGTGAAATCAACATAAAAAAATCTATAAATACAATAATTAAATACACATACATATAATGAATGCCGTGGTACTGGATATGCGCCTATTACACAACACCAGTAAATACATATCATGTGGTGACATAAACGCATGTATGCATTACATTCCCAAAACCAACTGATGTGAAAGAAATGGCAGTGATCCCACTAAGGGATAAGAAACAAAGTGAATCAGTGAAACCACTCCTTGTGGTAAACGTACGAAAAGGGAAGAGGAATCAGATTATAAACGCATGTATACCTACATGCTCAAGGTAACTGGTGAATAAGAACAATAGCAGTGATCCCACTAAGGGACAAACAAAGTGAATCCGTGAAACCACAAATTGTGGTACTTGTGAAAAAAAAGAAAGAAGTCAGGCTCACGCCTGTAAATCACTAACAATC